CTAACAATGGATATTTATTTAAGTTAATCTAGTCATTTTAAAGGTTTGGCATTATTGTAAAAATAAAATGCATTTATATTATATTTTTTTATATTTTAAGTAATTTTAAACTTAAATCACTAGACCTCTATGAAAAATTAACAAAAATCAACAGTCTTCGCAGGCGCCTCTGCGACGTAGGTTATCTTTCTCGGGTTAAAGGAACCATGAAGTTGCTACTTGGTTTCTGTTCCCCGCGATTGCTGCAGACAACTTTTATTTTAGACGAAAATCCGCAGTCTAGCAATGATATGTTTTGTGTAGTAACTATACAGTGACTCCCATTAATATTCGGGCAGTTTTTGAAACGCAGTAACTTTTTTAAAACTAGAATAAACGATTTGAATTCTTTTTTAAATGATAGAGGGATCAGTATGTCTAAATCACTTCGTTATAATTTTTCTATTATTTGGTATGATAAAACGTAATGAAAGACTCTCGTTTTTTAGCTTTTTTATCTGAGCCTATAACGAAAATCTAAGAAATGCAAAGTCGAGTTACAAGTGTCAAAAGATTGTAAAAATTGCAAATATCTCACACTTACTGGTCGAAAGTGCCAAAAATCTGGGCAAAGCTGCGATTTTTGAGATCTTTAATTGATTACAGCTCATTCCAAGGTCAACCGATTTCGGTAAAATTTTTAACATGCATATAACTTACCGAGATCTATAAAACACATTCTCAAATACTAACTGGAACAAAGTTCTCTTTTTATGTTTATTACATGACATGTCTCCCTGTATCTTTATTCCAACAAATAACAACAATAACAACATATTCAAACTTAAATCACTAGACCTCTATGAAAAATTAACAAAAATCAACAGTCTTCGCAGGCGCCTCTGCGACGTAGGTTATCTTTCTCGGGTTAAACAAAAATTACAGGAGAAAATTATGCAGCGTAACGGACGCCGATCGAACAGGATAATTTGATATTTCGTTCGCCTAATTGTAAGAACGAAATGCCCGTTCGCATCGGACAAATTTACACGGGGGGCGGGTCGGAGAACACCCAGACGAGAATGTTTCACCGCGGTTGTTTCGACTTTTCGAACAAGGCGATAGAAACAACAAACACGCGTCATCGTTGTCTCTCTGGCCTGGCAAAATCCGTGTCGACCGGATATGCCAGTCTCCTTCTTCGTCTTCGGAGGCATTTCGACGTC